TTGTATTTTTCAATTCGTAACCAGACGTCTTTGCGATAGTAAAACACGCGATTCTTATATGTTGCATTTGTGGTTATATAGAAAGTAGTCTGAACAGTACGAATGTATAAAATAAAATTTAGTGACAAAAAATTTGAATTTGAGAAATACCAAGAATTCGAATTTTTCTTACTTGAACAAAATATAAGATTTTAATTTAGTTTTAATGTTATATGTACGTATATATTTATTTAAAGCTGATCTTAGCCGAATTTTTATAGAATTCGTTCACCCGATCACCACGTTGAGGTGTCAGCAATAGACCGGGAAAAAAAATAGGTTTATATGCAAAAAATACCAGGTTAGTCGAGGCTAACCTCAACTAATCCAGAGAATTTTCTGCCTATACGTATATTACTAGCAATGAATTCTAATCTAAAACCCCAATGAGAGATTGTTGCACCAAGCACCGGTTCTAATATTTAATTTGGAAGAACACGGTAAGATCCAAGAGAGAAAGAGAAAAAATAATTTCACTAAACAAAGGTGGAGCCTTAAATTAAATCCTCAGATTTACAACTTTACCAGAGCACCCGTTCATCTAGTCGGGTGATTAGTGCAGAATACTGGATTTACAACTATACCACTCATCTAGTTAGATGGTTAGTATAGAACACTAAAGAACTTAACCTGGTTTTTGAGACTTAAATCTTTACCAGAGCACCCGCTCGTCTAGTCGGGTGATTAGTGCCAAATGCTGAAAAACCAGAAAGGACAGCCTTTGATAGAAAGGGTTAGGGTTATTAAGGTGCAAACGTCTTGAAAGCTCAAGGGTAAAGGATTATTATCAAAGCTAGAAAAAAATTAGTTAACATTACACCGATAAAGACGGCATTTAATTACTGATCATCTATTTATTTACGTACTGTACGTATAATAAACGCGTGTTCAAATTTGTTAATTTAGTGTAACAAAATAAAATATGCATATTCACGCGTTTGTGTAATGAGATTATCATCATATGATATGCTCAAAATACATATAAATACATATCGGCTAATTTACATAATTAATAACATTAATCAAGAAAATTGTCCTGTTTTTTTATAATTTTTAGATAATGTGTACAGTCAAAAACAAAGTTTTGAGCACTTATTATCCAAATATTTCGACTTTATAT